ACTACTTAGTTCTGGATAATAGATTGGGCCTTGATCATACAAGGGTTAGCTATCCCTTTTACCTAACTTGGCCTTATCGCTACAAAACTAAGCAAGAAGATACTTTTTGGCAGAGGATGATAGTTTACAAAGGGTGCTGTTTGTAGAATGTAGAACACTTTATTGGCCAAGTGTGATTGGACGCACAAGGAATTTGCCTTGGTGTAAATACTCTCAGTATACATAAAGAAAAGGTACATTCGTTAAGAATCAAGAATCATAATGTGCAACACTTAATGATAGTCATAGGGTACAATCAACAATCAAATCATACTAGGAAACAGTCAAGTTGGGAGGGGATGGTGATAAGGAGTGGTGAGAAGATTAACAGTAATAGTAGTATACACTTTGTAAATAGTTGAACAGTGTTGAGGGAATTATTTGTTTAGCAGAGTGATGGCTTTCGGTAAAAAACTGCCATGCAGCCTAGCCTGAACCCTTGCATTTAAGGGCAGGAAAGAAAGATTCACTTTGCAACAGTGGGCATACTTGGAATTTTAAGAGAAGCTATTGACACCCACAACAAATGGCTACCATTGGAGAGATATTTTTCTTCAATGTAGCTGCTATGGTGGGTGTAGCCAATTACAACATGTCCATCTTCCAGAAGGCTGGCCAATGAGAATATATTTTATTTATTTATTTATTTATTTATTTATTTATTTATTTATTTATTTATTCATTCATTCATTCATTCATTCATTCGTTTGTTTGTCAAGTGATTATAAGATAACAGGTATAAGTATAAACATAGTTATGAATACATGAAATGGATACATATAAAAAAATAAAAAGAAACAATAGGACAGGGATGGTAAGCATGTTATAGCATCCACATAGTCAACCCCCTTCCTTCCTATTTATCTGGTGGCTTCACAACCTCTAGATGGCAGCCAAGAGATACAACAAAGTTACAGATCCAATCTGGTACAACAAACTCTAACCTTTTGCTGCCATCTAGTGGTTAATAGGTCAAATAGGTTGGCCTACAGTTTCAATTTTTTTTTTTTTTAAGAACAAGTGGTCAGTGATACAAGAAAGGAAAAATTGTGGCATATGGTCAGAGCATTGAGCATACCAGCTGGACAAAAATTTTCACATAGTAGATGAGTTTGGGTTGGACTGGAAGTTCAGCCCAGAGAACCACCAATCCTGGCCATTAGAATGCAGTATTTTAAAGCTGTACAGACAGTAGTATAATGTGGATCTGTTCTGAGTACATACTGGTAGTAAAGATACAATGGAGGATCAGCAAGATTTTGTACATCATATTTTTCTGCTGGCTCTGGGACAAAGGGTATTGTGTTAAAGAGCTGTGTGTTGTGGCCTCAGTTTACCATAGTATGGAGAGAGGGGATGGAGACAGACAGGCACATCAACCAAGAAACTTTTCCTATCTTCAAAAAGGTGAGGAGGAAGAACCAGCAAGCTACAGATGAGTTACTCTGACATAGACAAGTGGAAAATTCTAGAATAGATTATAAGGAACTCAATCTGTAAGGGCACTGAACATAATAAAAATAATCAGATAAGTCAGCATTTGTCAAAAACAAATATTTCAGACTAATCTTATCCATTTTTGATCATGTAACTTCCTTAACAGATTTTGGAAAACCCTAGATAAACTATTCACAAAATACCCTGTGATATCCATATAAGCTAGCTATATGGTTGGCTTGGAAGCTGTACTCAAAGAGTGCTCACCAATGGTTGGTTCCTCATTAAATTGAAGTGATACAGCAAACATTGTGCTGCAAGAATCAGTCCTATATTCTTCAGTATGTTCATTAACATTTCAGAGTGCAAGATTTAGAACAATGGACTAATGTTATAGAAAGGAAGAATTTAATTTAATGTTAGCAAAATTAAAACGCACAGTAAAAAATAATTTGACAGTGAATCAGGTTATTCAGAAAGACATTGTTCATTGGATGTGCTCAATTAGAGTTTTCGTTCTGTTACCTGGGCCCTTCCAACTCATTGAATTTATGATTAAATAAAGAGTCAGCAAACAACACTGAAGCTTATGTCACTTTAAATGTATTATGGTTTAATCTTAAATGGACCACAATGAATTTCAACTGTCAATGAAATGTGTAACAATATTTCTACGAATTCTTTTTTCTAATGGAATTCTTTCTGAACTACATTTCCTTTGCCTAGTCTATATATCTGTCTCTAATTTATAAAACTTTAAGAAGGCATTATTCATTTCTATGGGTTTACAACAAGATCATTCTCTGTGGAAAATTTCCATACCTTTTTTTCTGTAACTATTTCAAGCCATGTGTTAGAAAAGTAACATCTCTTGTATTGCCTTATTTTTACAAATGCTTAGTGATTCTTGTCATATTATTTTCAAGAAAACTTACAAATATTGGATACTGTTTTTATGGATAGCCACTGAAAATACCATTTTCTGAGTGAAATATATTGCTCCTAGAATTACTTTTATTAAGTCAAATCAATGCATGGAAGGTTTTAAGATTATAAGGACCATTTATTATAAGGGCAGGGGGAGGGGGAGGAGATAAAGCCTTTTAGTAGCATGCATGAATATTGGGGACACTTGGCAGAAAAGCTTGGAAGAAACAAATTTCTATTTGATAGACCAGGTATCTGTCAGTGCAGCCCAACTGATGGAAACTTGTTTTAGCAGTTGTAGAATGCATGATAGCTTATCTTCAAAACAAACCTATGAGAGAAGTTAGGCTCTTTGCCTAAAGCAAAGGTAGACAACTATGACACTTTTATAACCTGTGGACTTCAACTCCCAACATTCCTGAGCCAGAATGCTGGCTCAGGAATTCTGGGGGTTGAAGTTCACAAATCATACAGGGGCCATAGTTGTCCACCCCTGACCTAAAGATAGTCAGAGAAGTTCTTATCTGAGGAGATTTAAAAGGATCTTCTCAATTCTACTCTAATATTCTAACCACAATTATCCATCATTTTTTCCTAACAAAGTTGCAGTAACAATACATTTTATCTAATCAAGAAAAGCATTTCTGAGGGTTTGTGGCATTTCTTTGACTTGTACTTCACTTTTTGTATGTTTAATGTGATAACACCTCAGTTTAATGGGCCATTTGGGGGGAAAGAATTCATTAAATCTGAATTTAAGAAATAAATATCATTTGCATAATTGCACAGTTGACATGTTTATCTCATTTGTGTAGTGGAAAAGACATAAAAAAATCAAGTAGTAATTATGACAAATGGCTTAAATTATATCAAATGTCCTGACAAACTCTGTGGATGAGGTCTGAAGGCATATTTTGTCCATTAAATGGGAATCCATTAAATTGAAGTATCACACTAATGTCAGGGAGATGAAGAAACGGCTTCCAGCCTTTTTTATTGCACTGTGGCGCCATGTACACTACATCAACATATCCACTAATGGCACATCAGAAACCCGATGAACATACCAATGCATGCTTCTTTTAGAGAACATGCAAATGTAGCTGGGTTTTTTATTTTTTATTTTTTAAGTGAAGACAGAAGATTGACCTTAAATGATCAAGTGAATAAGGAAAGGTATTGCATCTTTTCTTGCTGTATTTAAAATGCTCACTCCAGATGGTCTTCCCTTCTTGAGCATTTATGGCATATTACAAGAATAAATGCGCTAATGGAAGTTGGGAAGGAAGGTGGTCATGGAGATTAGAAACAAGATAAGGAAACATGCAGGGTAGAACTTTTGGAATTCCTTCAATTGTTCACCAACAATAGCCATAGGAGGAGTTGGTATTTTTTTTTATAGTGCAATGAAGTAACATATCTCTGTGTGCATTTGAACAAATGAAGATGCGTGCATGTGTATTGTTCATGGGTTGTGTGAGAGGAGGGGGTAGGTATATATCAGAGGCGGTATTTAGCAGGTTCTGACCAGTTCTGGAGAACCGATAGTGGAAATTTTGAGTAGTTTGAAGAACCGTCAAATACCACCTCTGACTGGCCCCCACCCCCATCTATTCTCTGCCTCCCGAGTCCCAGCTGATGGGCTGGGTCTTCTTTGCCCTGCACAGGAGAACAGAGCTGGAAAGCAGGTTAGTGGGGTGGGGAAGGAATGGAGGTTTTTTTCAGGAACCTTCCCTCAGGAGTGGGGAGGGAATGGGGATTTTACAGTATCCTTCCCCTGGAGTGGGGTGCGAATGGAGATTTTACAATATCCTTCCCCTGCCATGTCCACCAAGCCATGCCATGCCACATCCACCAAGCTACACCCACAGAACCAGTAGTAAAAAAATTTGAGTCCTATCACTGATATATACATGTTACTTGGATCTCTGAGGATCTATTCAGGATGGTAAAACTCATGAAGAACAGCCCATCTTCTAAGGCAGGGGTGTCAAACTGGCAGCCCATGGGCCAGATGCATCACCCACAGGCCACGCCCACCCCAGCTCTGCAGAGAGAAAAAAACATCATGATACATCACATACCAGCAACGAGACACTGAAAGTTTGAAACCCATGTTCTAAGGCATATTTCCCCATTGGTTGACTTTCCATAACACATTGAACCACAAACTAGCCAACCATATTTTAGCTGAACAGATTCTGCAATTCTGATTCTGTGTGGTCAATTTAAAGTTCATTATGTTGTGCAGACCCTGAAAATTCAATTAATTACAAACCATGATTACCATATATTAATCACAAGCAAACCTCTTGTCTGGACACAATCTCGGTATTTCTATAAGCGGTACTATAGGAAAAGAAAAGAAAGAAAAAACAAACAAACAGGAGCCAGTTATAGACGAGAGTCTTGTCCTCAAAATGCAAAAAAAGCTTTTTGGTTAGTAACATTTTTTTTCTGTGTAGTGTGATAAGGTGCACCTGCTAGAAATTCCTCCTGCATTTTGTGCAGCTGCTGAAACCCAATTGAGCGCTCTCTTCATTTTGGCATGTGGGATTGGAAGATTGTTTTCAAACTTGGGTGTGTATTTGCTGGATGTCATTTACTCCTCTTTCTCCTCCTCCTTTCCTTCTATGTAGTCAGAGTCTTCCTCTGGGGCCTTCTCTTATCATTTTCTTCGTCTTTATTTCTTGTTTTGTCCTCTAGGTAAGTGTGCCAAATCTTTGTTTGTTTGTTTGTTTGTGGTGAGAAAAGGAGGCTATGGGATGGTCTTTTTATTACACATTAACATTTTCTATACTTTAAATACTTAGCAGATAAAAGCACAGGAGTCCATGTGAAAGTTTACCAGCCTTCATGAAATTTTCAACAAGAAAGTAAAGTTAATATTTTAGGAGAAAGGGGGTTTAAAGTAGAATGCAAAGGTCATTTGTATGTAATATGAAAACCATGTTATTGACAAGGACATTTGAATCATTATCATGATTAACTTAAAGTATGAGTAGTGGTATGTTTCTGAAATGGTGTTTTTACTGCAACTGAAATGTTTTGAATTTGTTATAAATATATTGTGTTCAGTGGGTGTTTTCTAACAGCTTTTGAAATAAACTATGATAGTTCAAAGAACTGATAGAAAACGGATTTTTCATGTTTGAGAACAAGCAGTAACAAAGGCTGGATCTTGTGTCTGTCTTTCCCCTCAAACACACACACAATACTCTTGGTAATGCTTCCATTTTAATTGGTACCAGCTAACTAATGTAATATACTGATTGCCTGGAGAATAAGCCCAATTTCATCTCAGTTGAGTTTGCTTCTAAGAAGATACAACTTTTCAAATATTTGGTGTGTGTTTTGTAAATGTAAATAATAAAGAGTCTCCAGCGTGATCCCTAACATCCTTTCTTGGTTAGGCTGAAAATAGCTTGTGAGTTTAGAGCAGGTGTTGTGTCTCTTTCTAAGAGATCTACTGAGTGGAAGGGAATGGAGAGCCAAGAACTAAAAATAGGCAAACTTTTAAACTGTCTCAGTGTGAAAAAGTCCTTGTGACAAGGAGAAGGACATTTTGTAAAATATATATATATGTCTACTATAAAGAGGAAGAAAACATATTAAGATGTTTTCTTAATAAATATAAAAATGATATTAAGGCAACTTGCTGATGAGGTGTTCAGTAACTATTAACAGGAAGTATTGATGGAGTAGCAATATAATAGAAAAAAGAATCACTGAACTTAGAATGACTTTTCTAAAAAGTTCTTAAACAGGAGTTGCTTTAGTAGTAAACAAAATTCAGCTGTATCACCCTGAAAAGCACACCAGGAACATGTGAATAACACTTTAGTCCAAAAGCATATGATAACATCATACTAAGACCAATAAACAGATGCATGAACTAAAGCTGAACATTTTATTTTATTTTACATTTTATTTCATAGTATTATTTTCTTCCTGTTCCAGAAAGCATTTAAAAATAGTTTAAAATCACTAACTGGCTATTAACTTTGTGTTCATATTCGTGACAAGACCCTGTTTAATTGGCATTGTTATAAGCAATCTATATGGTTCTACCTCGGGATATTCCTTAGTACAGTGGCCCCCAACCTTTTTTGTGCCACGGCCCGGTACCGGCATCACAAAATGATCCGCGGCCCGGTACCGGCATCAGCACGCATGACAAGGCAAGGGGAGCCAAGGGACTGGCCAGCCAGCCAGCCCCCGCTTCTCCCCGCCACCTTCAACTCTTCCTTTGTACCTTTGTTGATGGGCTTCGCTTCAGGATGGCTTCGGGACGGTTGCTCGGCTCGCCTTGCCTTGGGTGCTGAAAGAATCCTAGCACCTTAGTTTCGGTTGAACCCCCCCCCCCCTCGATGAAACTAAGGTGCGAGGATTCCTTCAGGACCCAAACGCCGCTTTCCAACCGGAAAAGCTCACCCGGAAAAGCTCACCCGGAAGCACTTTCTCATCAAACAAGATGGCGGCACCCAGCAAACCGGCGGCCCAGTGGGAAATGCTCCACGGACCGGTACCGGTCCGCAGCCCAGTGATTGGGGACCCCTGCCTTACTACATGTACTCTGCCTTTTCTTAATAATGGTCAACCAGGGTATGAGTTGCCTTCATACATTATGTTAAGCCATGATGGTTTTTGTTTAGTGAAGTAACCATTTGATACAGTAAACTATGCATATATATGATACAATAGTTCTTTTTGTGATTGTGATTACCTTCTGTTTTATCAAACATGAAACCATAAGGAAAACTAGGCATGGTTTCTACAATTTTCCTAACAAAAACTCACAACTGGCCTCTCTTGTGCAAAGAAAGATTTCCAACTTCCTTCCTTTGATATGCGTTATCCAAAATAGAACTCTTCAGAACTCTGAAACTGATACATACAAGATCACAAAAGGTGTGTCATTGCAGTTCTTTGGAAAACAATTAGATGCTTGTTCAATACAAAACCAAAATATGTGGAGAAACTCACTTCCTATTTTTAGCCATTGTACTTCATGCTGTTCAGATAACTTAAACTGGAGAACTCAGTGTACTGTAAATACAACCTGTGTTATACCTCCAATGCTCCATGAAGGTTTCTTGCCCCCAAAATCCACAATACAATAGTGGGTGGATATGTATTAAGTATATATAGACACACATATATACATACATACCCATATTTCTGTACAGAAAATTGCTATTCTGTTCAATCAGTTTTCTGTCTTACTCAGACATTATATAGTTAATTCGGTGTTACTCTGGATAAGACACAACTCCAGCAATGCCTTTTTCCTAAGAATTCTGAAAACGATTTCAAACCAGGGTAATTATTGCCAAGTATTTTTTTTATACTAAGCTGTAATATGTCTATATAAAAATGATAGACCAGATAATATGAGAAGTATTCATTTCATGTCCATCTTCATTTTACAACTCACACAAAGGGAAATGATAACTAATTGGCCAAATCTAGTTTAGTCACTCATGCTCAATGCAGTGTCAAGAGAAAAGGGCATAAGCAGGCAATCAAACCCCTTCTTTCACCTTATCCTTCTGCTTTAATGCTGCTTCTCTGAGCTACCTGAAACCACTGGCATTCAGAGTTTCTACTGATTGGAATTGCCATTTTCACTGAACATAACCTAGGGAACTACTACTGTGGTACATATGCAGAAAAGCATTTGTTTCCCTGGAACACAGATTTTGTAACAATTTCCCGATGGGCCATTGATTTAGTTTGAGAAAGCATGCAGACAGCAAAATTAGAATTGCCATCAGCTTCTATTTTCCTAGGCAGAGTGAAAATCTGCTGCAGTTGGCTTCATCCCAGAAAATGTCAGATTAGTTCTTTATTTAAGACGGTGCAAGTTGCAACACATAATCTTTGGACCAGAATCACATTTCAAAGTCTTTACAGAATTCATTAATACAATATACACATGTTTATAATTCAAATATATTAGGGTATCCAAATTCACTTCTGTTATGAAACAGGTTTGAACTGTTTTAATTCTCTGACTACTGAAGCCCAAAAGCTGTCAGACTGCCTCCTAGTGAGAAATTGCTACTTTTTTAGAATAGAAAAGTAATAAAATTTATTTTAAAAAAAGAAATTGCTACTTAATGGGATGAGAAGAGATGTGATTTGCTACAGATGCTAGACTATTATGCAATTGCCATGACCCATATAACAGATTAACAAAGTTGGAAGGGGCCTTGTAGGTCATCTAGTCCAACCCCTGCCCAAACAGGAGACCTTACACCATTTCTTACAGATGGCAGTCCAGTCTCTTCTTGAAAGCTTCCAGTGGTGAAGCTCCCACAACTTCCAAAGGCAAGTTGGTTCATTGATTGATTGCTCTCATTGTCAGAAAGTTTCTCCTTAGTTCCAAGTTGAATCTCTCCTTGTTCAGTTTCCATCCATTATTCCTTGTCTGGCCTTCAAGTGCTTTGGAAAATAGCTTTGTCCCCTTCCTCTCTGTGGCAGCCCCTCAAATATTGGAAGACTGCTATCACGTCTCCCCTGGTCCTTCTCTTCTTTTCACTAGACTAGCCATGCCCAGTTCCTGCAACCATTGATTGTATGTTTTAGCCTCCAATCCCCTAACTATCCTGGTTGCTCTTCTCTGCACTCTTTCTATAGTCTCAATGTTTTTAGTATAATGTGGTGACCAAAACTGCATGCAGTTAGGTGTGGTCTTACTAAGGCTTTATAGAGTGGTATTAGTATCTCACTTGTTGACATGGGCATACAATGTTACTAGCAAAGGTATCAGAAGAATTAATCTTCTGGGTTCTTCATTTTAGACTTCTGAAGGAAAATGAGAAAGTACTTTTGAACATTCTGGAGGGGGGAAAGTTCCAAATCAGTGGTTTAAATAGCAGACCATCTCTATTCCTGTGATTCCAGAAACATATATGTTACAGAGAGGACCCCGATCCAATGATGTACTTCAGTGCAAGGCATTTTTATTGTCAGCAATAAGAAGTACCAAAAAAAAAGCAAAATGTACAGATTTAAAGTAATTTTTAAAGTAAAGTATTTTAAAATCAATAACAAAAAAAGAAAAAAAGGTGGAACTGTTGTGAGACAAGAGCGGCCACGCTGGTGTTCTTTTAAAACTATGTGATTAGTACAGAGTAATCTATTTCTGATTACATTCAACAACAGGAAAGAATAATCTAAGCAATTGTATGGCAGAGTATTCTGTGCTTTCTTTAAAGACATCAGACATGCTGTGAGCTGAATTCCCACTGGGCATATCCAGCCGAGGTGCTAGGGGGCATAATATGAGAGTGTGATCTGGAATGTGTTGGAGTTAATGACTCTTGGGGAAATAAGCAGGGTTCTTTGTGTTGTTAGCTTGGTCACCTGTTTGTTGCACCCAGGCTATTCTTGACTTGTTTAAGGTCATCTATCATGGGGTACAAATGATGGCCTCTTTGAGAGAGGGATGATGCTGAAGGCCTTGAAAGAGGCTGTGGTATACCCCATCTACAAAAGGTCCAATTATTCTAGATGAGTATCATCCTGTCTCCAACCTTTCTTTTTTAGGGAAGATTGTTGGCATTTTTCCAGGTGAGGCTAGAATTTCAGAGGATCCTAGAGGAAGCAGATTATCTGGATTAAGTTTAGTCAAGGCTCAGGATGGATTTTATATGATGATTTATGGCAGAGTCAGGATGAAGATGATGTATCAGCAGCTTTCAATACCACTGACCATGGTGTCCTCCTGAACCAAGTGTGAGGGTAATTTTCTTCCATATGTGGTCATGTGGCCAGCATGGCTATATGCCAAAGATGTACAAAATGTCGTTAACTTCTCACCAAAGTGATAGCAATAGTACTTAGACTTGTATATCGCTCCATAGTGCTTTATAGCCCCATCTAAGAATAGAATCAATCATATTGTCCCCCAAAATCTGGGTCCTCATTTTACCCACCTTGGAAGGATGGAAGGCTGAGTCAACTTTGAGCCGGTCAGAATCAAGCTGATGGTAGTTGGCAGAATTAGCTTCCAATACTGCATTTTACCTATTGGCAATTGGCGTGTATTTATGATGATTGCAGTGTCCTGAGATCACGTGATCACCTTTTGCGACCTTCTGACAAAGGTACCTATTAATCTACTCACCTGTGTATGCTTTCGAACTGCTAAGTGGACAGGAGTTGAGGGAAGGAACAGGAGCTCATCCTGTTGTGCTCCCATTTCAATTATGTTCACACAATGTTCATGCTGAGTAGGAATTCAAGTGCAGCCCATGTGCAAGCTACCTAGTTAGACAAGGCTGTGATAAGATTATATCTGTTGGGATCTTGGGACAGACCATTTCATCTTTTCATTGTGATGTTATAGTTTATTACTAGCTCAGTACCCGTGCTTTGCTACGAAACTATGTGACCAGGCTTAGTTTTTTTGGGGAGGAAAATAAAGGCAAAAATATTGTGCCTCTGCCTAACAGCATCCATTGGTATTTATCTGGCTAGCGTCCTGTCAGTGTGTGAGAGGGTTGAGGGCTGTTTGGAAACTGAAGTAGTATGTGCTGTGTGAGCAAGAAGAAGACAGCAAGGAGCCTGGCCGTGGCTTAGCTCAACTGTTCTGTACTAAAGCTGGTTGCTGCTGTGAAACTAAAACTGAAACTGAAACTCCTCTGCTTGTGTTTTGCATTTGGATTTCTTTTCAGGTGGGGAGGGGGAATAGAATTCCTTAGCATCAGAGCGTGTTAATAATAATATACAAAATGCTAATGTTCTGATGGTCATTTCAAAAAATCCTTTCTTAGTGAGCACCTAGAAGCCCAGAGGAACATAGATGCCAAATGTCAAATTTGTAGGCTTTATGTTTCTGGAGATTTTGTGATGATGCATGAGTGGTATTTCTCTTTTATATATATAGATTTGTTACTGAGATTGTACACTGCTATTACCTTAGAAGATGGAAAATACTGGAAATACCTAAATAAACCTGTATATAAATCAGTTTTCTATTGCCATTTGTGAAAAGCAAACTAAAACTGTCTACTTCTGCATCAGTTGTTTTGCCTCTTGCAATCTTCCAGGTGTTTGTTTAAAACTGAGCTCTCTTTGCTGTCAGGTATCCAGCATGGACTATGACCAAAGCACCAGTGGCCAGCCTGAACAGCAACAATCATCTTCCGCAAACAACTCTGAAGATCTGCCTTCTCAGAATGGCTTCGGGAGAGCAAGCGAGACACTGTTTCCTCAGTCCGCTGAGAACACAGCCCAGGCTCAGCCTGAAATAAAGCTCTGTGATATATCTGAGGAGCTGAGCCAACAGCTGGAGGACATTATTAAAACCTATGGGTCAGCTGCCTGTTTGGTGGAGGAAGGGAATACAAAAGCAACAGATGGAGCTGAGAAAGGAGAATTGTTCAGTCCCGAAGATGGGGACTATGAGGATGGCGGCCATGATGAGGCTGAAAAAGAGCAGGTCCCTTTGGGGGATGCCTCCGGATTGAAGGAGGCCAGTATTCCGAAAGAACAAAAACTGGAAAAGAAAATCCTGAAAGGATTAGGCAAGTAGTTATTTGGGTAACTTAAATGTGGAACTTAAATGTGAGTCATTGCTTGTATCAGGAAAAACATTACACATTTTTGATAGTTTCACAGTTGTCAAATATCATCTATACATCAATTTGTAAAAACTTTATCTTAAATTATTCCACAAAGTGAATTTAATGTTGATGGAATTCTATTCCAAAGAGACAAAAGGACTTTCCCCAACCCTTTCATGTAGATGTTAATCTGCATACGGAACAAGATAAAATTATATGCAACATGATTTGTTAGTGACAAGGACATTGAATAGTAGTCCCTGCACTATCTTGTGACCAAGCCCTAATCCTAAAACCCAGAATCGCTGCAACAGGATTGGAAAATAGAGCCCAACCCTAAGGGACATCCTGGAAATATAATATTATTAACATCTAGCTTTCTGTATTCTTTTAGCTTGTCATCTTACAAAATGTAATTATTTTAAATTCATGGGTAGGCATTTTATGCATCACCTTCCTGATCTTTTAAAATACAGAAGCAATAAAACCAAATTAGTCACAGTTTTCAGATTAAAATATATTCATACAATCTTAATTTTGTCTGATGCATTATCACTTTGATCATGGCCTCTTATCCCATTTTCCTGATTCAGGAAAAGAGGCTACCCTGCTGATACAACATCTGACCAAGCTGAATACATCAGAAGAGAAATTGGAGCTCTTATTTAAGAAGTATGCTGAACTGGTTAGTATGAGGATCCAGGGTAGAGGGGGGGGAAACGGTTTTATTTTATTTATTTTGTCAAGCAATTATAAGATAACAGGTATAAGTATAAACATAGTTATGAATACATGAAATGGATACACCTAAGAAAAAGAAAAGAAAAAAAGAAAAGAAACAATAGGACAGGGACGGTAGGCACGTTGGTGTGCTTATGCACGCCCCCTATATGTTTAAAAACATGTCTTATGTAGTGCAAAATGACCAGTTTGCAACCTGGAAGCAGATACAGTATCTTTTTAAGATCCCTGATAAAGCATTGAAAATGCTATCTTAAATCTGGGGAAGGGAGGATTCCCCCACTCATTTGCCTGCCTTAGTTATACTGTATAAGACACACAAGTTTCATCAGTCATGCTATTGACAGGGCAAGTAGAGGTATAGGAAGTCCACAAGAGGAGATTTAGCTGTATTTCATCTGTTCATTCCACTGGAGACCCTTAAAGTACTCAATATTGGCTTGATATATGTATAACAAAGCATTGAACCAAATATAATAAACTGGGACATTTCTTCCCAGACATTTAATCATAGCACAAAAATGGCCTGGCAAATTCTATGCTAGTCTCATTATTGTCATTATCCCGTGGTGGGATTCAAATAATTTAACAAAGTCAGGTTGACCCAAGGTCAGTTTGGCTGTCATAGGAGGCGTGTCCCAAATTACCCACCCCACTCCCTGCTATCAAAGTAGATCCTGGGTGCTGCGCTGTATTGCAATGGAGAAATGGGCAATGGAGCAGCAGGCACAAGGGAAGGAGGAGGAGCAGGGAGAAGAAAGAGGGAAAGCCGCCTTCTCCTTCCCTCGCGCTGGCCACTCTGTTGCTCATTTCTCCATTGCAGCACAGTGCCCAGCATCCACTTTGATGGGTGGCGGTGGTAATTTAACAACCGGTTTGCCCAAATCAATGCGAACCGGATGAATCTCACCACTGTCTTTATCTGAATCCCTGTCCATAACTGAGGAACTTTAAGTTGTCCCCATGGAAGTCAAGATTTAGACTTGGCATGGGACAGAAATTGCAGCAGTAATTCTTGTAAATGGCTAGGATGAAGGAACTCCAATCATCCTTGTCCTACTGGATTTCTCAACCACCTTTGATCTCAATATTCTGGATTAGCTGGAAGGAGAAGCTTTGGAGGACAACCATACTGGAATGCTCTTTCATAAGGAAGTGATTCCAATCAGTGACCTTGGGGGAAGAGAGGTCAGACCTTGAACACTACAATATGGAGTTCCTGGGTCTTGACTCCCTCCTTCATTCTTTTAATATATCTGAATCTAGTCTGTTAAATCACACTTTGCTTCATTCATTTTATTGACTGTTTCCTAGTATGATTTGATTGCTTATTGTACCCTATGACTATATTCTATATACTACATACCCTATGACTATATAACCCTATGACTATTATTTAGTGTTATAATTCTTGATGAATATATCTTTTCTTTTTATGTACACTGAGAGCATTTGCACCAAGACAAATTCCTTGTGTGCCCAATTCCACAAGTGGCCAATAAAGAATTTTGTTCTATTCTAGAGGGAGGCATCATGAATATTTACATTAATAAATACATATCTCTATCTGAAACAAATGGGGGTCCACTCCCAAGTATTTGAAGTCTGTCAGCATAGTCAGTGAACATTACTTAGGCAAAGAGAGATGAAACATTATTTAACCTTGGAAATTATTTTTGGAAATAACTTGAGGAAAATAGCTCCATGATTCACTGGGGTATAAGAAGAACAAGTGACCTTCAAGATTCTTTTATTGTAACTTACCTCAATAAATTGTAGTTGTGGTTTTTCTACAGAGTCAATTTCCAGAGCCACCTACCTAGTGGGCTAACTAACAAGCCTGGAAGGAGAGAAACAGGCTCAGATTCAACCCAAGAAAAATAAAGTGGTTGTTAAATTAGAAGCCAAAAGATTGTATTAACTTTAATTCTAGACAAGATTTATTTTTTTCTTGAAGGAACAGATCCACAGTCTAGACAGTTATTTGGAGTCATAGTTCCTACTGGAAGAGACCATGATGAAAAATATTTTTTCTCAGTTTTGGTTACTGCACTGGTTGTGGCCATTCTTGGAATGGGGGCCCTGAATACAATTACTTGTTGCCTCTCACCTCGATTACCTTAATTCATATTACATGGGGCTGCCCTTGACGAATATCCAGAATCTTCAGCTGCTACAGAATGGACTTGCCTGTGTGATAAGAGGGCAGACCCATTAGTCCCATGTTGGTCTGGCAGCTCCCTGGCAGTTTGTTTTTGAGTATATTTCCAGGGTTAATCATCATTATTACCTATCTTAAGTAGAGTCTACTCATCTGATGCATGCAAGTAAAGAGTACCTTCCAAGGGGTTCCATCTATGGAGATTTCTTTAAAAAAGGAGATTTGGAAGGAGGTCATCCATTCAGCTATTCCCTTCCACGGAAAGCTTGCCTTTAAAGGAAAAAGACATGCCTTCCCTTGTGATCTTCTGAAAGCTTGTTGAGATCTATATATCTCAGAATGTTTTAGACTGCAATAATACTACCACGGCATATTCATTGTGTTGTGTCATATGCAGGACTACAAAATTTTAGACCCAATTTTTGCTGCTCTACATATGACAGAGCCCCATGAATATGCTATGGTAGAATTACTGCAGTGTGATGCAGTCATTCTTTTTTATTATATTATTGTTGTTACGAAAAATTGCTGGCTTGTAGACTGTTAATTAGTCAGCTTGATAAAAGTATTGGAGGAGAAGAATCATGATAGTCCATGATAATTTTTTTAAAAACCTCAATCTTGTAGCACCTTTTCCAACTAACAATCTTATTAAGTGCTTTTGGCATTTTTATTTCATGTATTTATTCAATTTCTATAGCCACCTATCTCAATTCGATTGACTGGGTGGCAAGCAATAAGGAAAACTATAAAACATTAAAACAGTTATATTTTTATTATAATTTTTTTGTTATATATCATCTATATAAAATCCAAGCATGATTGGACACACAAATTCCTTTGATCACATTTGGCCAATAAAGAATTCAATTCTGTTCTGTTCTATCCTATCCTAAATGTTGGTTGAATATGCTTATATGCTTTGCAATAAAATGTGCTAGGTGGAAAAGGTATTACCAGATTTCTGAATAGAGGAGATGTAAAAGTCTTCATAAATAAATGCATTCTCAGCCATCTATTCCGTCTCCCATCACTCAGCCAGCATTTTGAACACACCCTCTTCCAGGCACCAAACTGAATTGCACATCACTTAATTTTACTTTGAATGGAGTATATGGAAATAATAGTTTGGAAATGGAATAATTAATTGAAGCACTGATAACATTTGGTGCAGAATCAGGAATAAAATGGAGACTTGAATTGGGGTGATCGTTACCCAACCCTTGATTTCTCATTTAATTTTGGTGTGAATGAAACCAAATCAAACTTTTTGGGTATATTTTTTCTATTCACCCCGTGTCCACTGCCTTTGCAAATTAGAAAATCTATTTTTTTAGGTTATTTGGAAGAAAAGTAGTTTTTTCCTTCTATGAAATTTAAATAAATTCCAGTTAGGATTCCAAATATTCATGTTACTTGCGGGGGGGGGGGGGGGGGGGGATCATGTCTATTAAATGCCTAAGAATGGCCTTGTCCCAAGTTCTCTTGTTTTGCTTATTTATTCTTGTCCACATACTTTTCAGCTGGAAGAACATCGTTCTGAACAAAAAAAGTTGAAGAATCTGCAGAAAAAACAGGCCCAGCTCATGAAGGAGAAAGACCAATTACAGAGTGAACACAGCAGAGCCATTCTAGCCCGGAGCAAATTGGAGAGCCTTTGTAGGGAACTCCAAAGACACAACAAAACCCTGAAGGTAATGAGAAGAGAAGATCCTTAGGAGAGGTCAGAAGGAAAAGTTAAGTTCACTTGGTATCCTTAGTTGGTTCACAATAGATTGGTAAGGATCTTTCGGTCTTAAATATTGAACATTAGTAGCAACGAAATAGTTTCCTGCTTCTGACTAAACCCTGCTCTGGAAAGAATTGAAACCTGCTCCTGTATTGTGCCTAATTTAATTTTGTCTCCTGGATTCCCACTTTTATCTAAAATAACTGAAACCTGATTTACATATACATATAACCCAGATTTATTCCATTGGTATCTCCAGTGGCAACGCATGGAAACTGGTGCTGTGTTATAATGCTTTTCTTCAATTTTATGTGTATCCGCAAAGTGTGAGGTATATGAGTGGACGCGTTTGGGTGATCTCAGTACAGCTAAAACAATATCAATTCCTCAAGAAACCCATAAAATAGTCAATAATGCAACTAAAGAAATTGGTCCCTGTCTCATCTAATACATCACCGCTACTGCTGCTTCCAGCTTTAAGATGCCCGAAGTAATGCAAATACATGTTCCTGGCTGCAGAAATGGCCTACATCTGATGTAAGTTAATGTAAAACTAATTAAAGCAGCATCCTAAAATCCAATGAGTATACACATCATCAGTATGACAACTCTTAATCATCCTTGGATGATCTCAAAAAACTAAGGCTGGAGCTAGCTGATATTTGGTTGGAAAGGATCCAGGAAATCATAGGATCATAAATTACGCAGAGAAGATTTTCCCAAAAAAAATCTTGGAGAAAGGCAATTGCAAATAATTTCCAGAAGGACTACATAAAACTATAAAATTTCCATACTTAGCCTGAATAATACTATCTTACTTTAATCGTAGAAATCTGGTATTTTTTTCTTATGCAGCCTGGAACCCTGCAAATCAAGGAGAGAACCAACCTAGAATTAATTTCCTGACTGTTAGAACACTTAATCAGTGGAACGGCTTGAGTCCAGAAGCTGTGGGTGCTCCATCACTGGAGGTTTTTCAGAAGAGATGGACAACCATTTGTCTGAACTGATATAGAACAGTGGTTCTCAACCTGTGGTCCACGGTCCCCTGGGGGAGGGGCATGATGTCATCACAGGAGGTCCGCAAAGGCTTGAAGAAACATTATGGTTTAAATCTTGAGTTAAATCTTGAGGGTCCATGGTCCATGGCCACAAAAGATATTTAAAGGAGGGTCTGTGGTGAAGAAAAGGTTGAGAATTACAGGTATAGAGTTTCCTGCTTGAGCAGGGGGTTGGACTAGAAGACCTCCAAGTTCCCTTCCAACTCTGTTATTCTGTTACAAGAAACCAAAGGCCATTTGCTCATTACCACTGGGATAATACTATAATAGTACAATACTATTGGGATCGCAGCTGGTGAAGGGGAATAGATATCTCTTTCTATTCTTTCTGGATGAGGCTGCAATGATGGAGAGGGGTGACCCAATTGTTGCATTACAGGAGGAGACCCTTCAGCGAGCAAGAGAAGAGGAAGAAAAGAGGAAGGAGATCACGAATCATTTCCAGAGCACGCTGAACGATATCCAGGCACAGATTGAGCAGCAAAGTGAGAGGAACATGAAGTTGTGCCAGGAAAATACTGAGCTGGCTGAGAAACTGAAAAGCATCATTGATCAGTATGAAGTCAGAGAAGAGGTAAGAGCAATGTGACAAGTCATTCTTGTTTAGCAACTGCCTCGAACAGCAATCGTTTGCAGTTACATCCAGGATTTAAAAAGTAACACTGTGACCAATTCTTGCATTTATGATCTTCAGAGGTCTGTAAAGTAAAAGAAAACTCAAGTAATATCATAAGTACAATCACATTTTCATTTAGTGACCACTTCACTGAACGACCAAGTGACTGATTACAATTATGGTTGCTATATGAGGACTCCCTGCACTCTCTAGGAGGTTTCCCCCAAGTTGAGAGTTATACCTAGCCTTATGGCACTGGAGTAATAGTAACTAATCATCCTTCTGTCCCAGACTGTATATGTTACAGGAATTTTGCAAAATTATTCAAAACTCAGAAGGGATTTATTCCCCTTGCAATTTCTAGCTACACTAAATCTAAGCAGTCTAAGCTATACTTTGGACTTCTTGGGGTTTTGCCTATCATCTGTTTTTGTGCATTGTGCCTTGATGATGAGTTCTTGAGAGAGGTCTTGTTATTGTTTTGGGATTTTTTTTCTTCATCTCCTCCCTAAAGAATACAGCTATTATTGTAGTTTTGTTATGCATACCTCTCTTCACTATGGCTAACATGCCATAGAACTTGTATTCCAGTCTCAATACTCATCATTTAATCATTCCTTTTTGTCCTTTATTTAAACAACTAATTATTTATTCAACAACACTGAGGGTCAGTAATTAATTGAAGCCCATGAGGTGTTGTTTTATTGCTGATTGAATTTGCCTCCATTATAAGCTTTTGTTCTTTGATGTTTATTTTGGTATTGTGCTTTTTATGTAATGTTAGTCACTTTGAATTGCTATGGTAAACTGTGCAGCCATATAAATTGAATAAATAAATATATCCAGTAAAATAAACATGTTTGGAATACTACAAATGAATTTCAGCAGCCATAAAGAAATTACTATGCATACACTAAGAAAATTATATTTACTTGATCTTGTGAGGCTTGTAATTTCACAGTTGCTTTTTATAAGGGATACGTGATATCTTTAAATAATTTAAAAATCTAAATAACCTCTTTCCAACAAGCAGAAGTTGAAATAACTTTGCAACACTTCTGCTATTTTACATATGTTGTTAACAGTGCAATTATGTACTTGCCTACTCAAAAATATTTCCCAATGAGACTTATAGCATTCCCAAGTTCATAGAGAGACTGCAGTCTTAACCATGTATTCTAGCATTCCCCCCACCTCTGTATCTCTCTCTCACACACGCTCTTTTTTATTTCCTTCCAGCATCTTGATAAAATATTTAAGCACAGGGAACTTCAGCAGAAACTGGTAGATGCCAAGTTGGAACAGTCACAAGAGGTCATGAAGGAAGCTGAAGACAGGCATCAGCGAGAAAAGGAATATGTATTCATTTTTTTCTTTAGTTGCTTATATATAGTTCGTGTTCACCTCTGAAATGTTGCTTATTTGTTTTATATCATGCCCTTTATTGTTTACAACTCCAGTTGGGGTATATAATGTTCCTGTCTTCTATTTTCTCCACAGCATCAGCTTTTTGAGGTTGGACTGAGATAGAACAACTGGCACCAAGTTGCCCAGAGGGCTTTCATGCTTGAGGCCTAGAATTGATGGCCTCACACACACACACACACACACACACACACACACACACCTATACAACCATACTCTGATAGACAGGATTTGTCAGAAAGAATGGCAGACTGGCAGATAGGACTATTACTATGTTAACAAACTAGAACTGGAGATATGCAACTGCATCCTCATGGCAGCTCAACCAGTAACTTTTTAGCTCTTCTTGTCATCAGAGGCAGGAGTGCACCACTTTGAATCTTTAGGAGCCAGAATCACACAGCACTTCCATTCCAGAACAGGGTATATTCACCCTCCCTTTATTTTTTATTTTTTTAAAAAGCAGAAGTATTTGCTGGTTTCAGGAAGCAGTGAACTCATTTTCATAATGACATTTGACATTTCCCCTTAGGAGCTCCAGGTGTAGCTATAGTCCACTAATTTTCTCTCTCTGGAATACTGTGACTACTATTAGTTGAGTTAAGATATGATCTATCTGGAGACTGCTTAACTCCATAACTGAGTAATAATTTGAACCCATATTCTTCCTATCCAATCTACTATTGGTTGTCCTCATTTAAGATGATCAGTGACCATTTGAAGTTATGGTGCTGAACCATTATATGATACTTGTGATAGGTCCTTGTACTTAGAGCAAGTAGATCCACCGATAAAGTGCCTATTTTTAGATTAAAATATTTCAGTAGGTCATGATTCAAAAATTCATTTGAATGTTTAACAGATTTTGCAATAGTACCTACAGCATAATATATTCTTTGAGGCATACCGAATGAGGAAAAAAAACCTGAACATTAGATTTTGTATCTGACCAAAATGCTTCTGCTTTGAAATTGCTTAAACTTGCATTTTGCATTACCAGCAGAATAACCCTGCTACCTCCTGGTGGCCTTAATGTTTATTTGCTGCTTCTTGGCATGCAATCCCAACCAGCTTAATTCTCCTATAATTTAAAATAATTTTTAAAAGTATTGATCCTATTCAAAGCATATGTAATGCAATGCTCAAAATTTAAATATCCCTTAACCCAAACTTCGGTAAACATTGTTCAGTTGAAAGAATTCTTTTTCCACATTTCTTTCAAAAGTTTTTTCCTAGATCTCTCTTGCATATTTTAATTTCTCATTGCTCTCAACTAAAGATACTAAAAAGATTTGAATGGGGGTGGATTTCTTGAAGTCCTGACAATTGTGATTATGTGATACACTCCAAGAAGTAGGTGAAGACAAAATTAAAAAAGAAGCAAATTCAATACAAAAATTAAATTTGATTTTATTTGCATTCATTTTATTTACATTAAATTAAGAGCGTATTACTTAAATGTAGTTAATAATGAACCACTTCCATGAATATAATTTCCTTCAATTCAGATGAAAACTTACAATCTAATGTAAACTTTTTGGAGGGACTTTGGGAGAGGCAGCCAATAGTTTTAAGGCCCATAAATCAAAATAGATCAACTCGCCATAGCCAATTCGCTGCAGCCAACTTGCCAAAGACAACTTGTTGCAGGACAACTTGTCATGGGGTTCACTTAGTTGCTTTTATTTTTGCTGACTACATTTTCGTCAACATTATTTTATCTCTTGTATTAAAGGAAATCATTCCCATGACTACCAGCTGTTGTAATGCTTTGATGAATAATAAAAATAACTAATCCCACATTGAATTGTCCTGTGGCAGTTTGGCCCCTGGTAAGTTGGCCGTGGCAAGTTGTCCCACAGTGATTGTGGATGAAGTTAAGTAGGGTGTTGGTGAGTCAGTCGTGGTGAGTTGGCCTAGTCATTAGATTAGTGCAATGCACTCTACATGAAGCTCACCTTTTAAGACTATTTGGAAACCTCTGTTGATACAGAATGCAGTTGTGTGGTCAGTTGTGTGTTCTCCTAGGGCAGCACATTACACGTCTGCTCTGCAAGCTGAACCGGTTGCCAGTTTACTTCAAGGTCCAATTCAAAGCGCTTCATGGCATTAGAGCAGGTTACATGAAGGACCATCTCTGCCCATTAGATCATGGAGAAAAGGCATAGTCAGTGGTGGCTTTCAAAAAAATTTACTACCAGTTCTGTGGGCGTGGCTTGGTGGGCATGGCTTGGTGGGCGTGGCAGGGGAAGGATAGTGTAAAATCTCCATTCCCTCCCCACTGCTGGCGGAAGGTTACTGCAAAATCCCATTCCCTCCCCACCCCATGAACCTGCTTTCCAGCTCCTTTCTCCTGTGCAGGGCAACAAAAGAAGACCCAGCCGATCAGCTGGGGCTCGAGAGGCAGAGAAGAGATGGGGGCGGGGTCAATCAGAGGTGGTATTTGCCGGTGCTCCAAACTACTCAAAATCTCTGCTACTGGTTCTCCAGAACTGGTCAGAACTTGCTGAATGCCACCTCTGCATACAGCGGGTATGGAACTAGGGAACTACGTTTGAACAATCCTAGAAGTCACGCCTTCTCTGCTACAGCACCTGCTTTACAGAATATCCTTCCTCCTGAAATTAGATTGGCCCCATGCCTTTTGATTTTTTTTTCAGATTTGGTTATGCTGCCAAGCCTGAGGCTGCTAGAGAATCAACTATTTGTCTCAGTAACTTCATTGTTGAGGGAGGCCACTTTTATCCTCTCTTCTACTAAACAGAATGCTATGTTTAGTATTTTTTTTTTGTATGTTATTTATTACTGCGATTTTTTTAGATTTTTATCTGCTATTATATTGGCTGTTTTATCTATTGTTTTGTGCTACCCAAAGTTCCCTTTGGTGAGATGGGCAGCTATATAAATTGGATTAATAAATAAAAATTAAAATAATATTAACCCTTCTTTATTTCTAGAAGCAAACAAGAACAACCAACTGCATTCAGGAATTGTATATTCTTTACGAGTTTGCTTTCCCTTCCTTCATATTTTATTAATAAAAGCACCAATTTCAGCAGAGAACTTTTCTGATTTGGAAGATAACTCCAGGCTAATACAATCCACCTTTAAAAATAAATGCTTATTGAAAATATTGCTTTGAACAGTTGCTTTTATTACAAGTATCTCCCAGATTTGTCTTGTAAATTAGACATGTCAAGTTGAGCTATAGAGTAGAGAGGGCAAAATAAAACTCATTAATGAGCCAGAACAGATTACACATAGAAGCAGTTTCTGCCTCATCTGTTCTATTGGGTTATGGCAGGTAAAAACTAATTCCAGTTGAAATAGGAGGCTATGCAGTTCCGGCAAAAGGTTAAGCATTTTCAAAATGCAGATAATTTGCAGGATTAAGAATTAAGTCTGAAATTTAGACCTCAGAATAATTAGTATTTGTCACCTCACATTGACTAATAGTAGTTCATTCTGCTTTGCTATCACCATCACCATGCTACATGGATTTTATTTTAATCTTTATTTCCCACCAAAGCAAGGAGGATTTAAAAGGACAAAGTTCTGAAAACCTCATGAAAAGCCATATGGGCATTTCACTTAGATTTATAGTGCTTATTTTAAAAACTGTTGCCCAGAGGTGAAGATGCTCATCTCCCCACTTGGAAGGTCGAGAGTTCAATCCTAGGCAGTGACAGATGTTTATCAGGACATAAAGTGTAAATATCTGATGAGAACTTGGCATAGGTGTTGGGAAGGGCATCCGGCGGTAAACGCTTGGCTCCATTCAGTTGCCTTGACTCCACCCTGATAAAAAGGGATTACAGGGCCATAAAAAATTAAAAATAAAAACTACCATACTATGTTACTAGAACAAAAAGATTTGTTTAAGAAAGTAATTTCATATATGTTGTGGATTCCACTTGTTTCATTAGATACTTATCAAACATGCAATGTTTTATAATAGCAAAGAATTGCAAAGATTTTTTAAAAATTTAAATTACTTGATCTTTCAAATGTTGTATGCATTCTTAAATCCCAAATAGCTACTCAACCAAGCTGCAGAATGGAAACTACAGGCAAAAATGCTGAAGGAACAAGAGACCGTTCTCCGGGCTCAGGTAAAATAAGGCCCTTGTTTCCATTATGTACTTTTTCCAGCTGGTCGTGTTCACTATTATAGATGTGTAAAAGTGGATAAAATGTAGCTAACCTTATTTATGTTCAAACCCATCTGGGTAGTATGCATTAGAGTAAATCCTTACAAAATATTAGAATAGACCAGTCCATACCTTTTACAGGAAACTTTCAACTAGAGTTTAGGATATTGCAGCCTAATTAACCTGGAATTGAGAAAAAATGGGGAAATTTGGCTTCTTATTTTTGTTTTTCTTCCCATCTATTCCTTTTATTTTAAGAATATTTTCTCTTTAGAAAAGATTTAAAGCCAGTATACATTCATGTCTAGAATGAATTCATGAAATTCAGCAAATGCTAGATATTTGCCATCTATTTTTATTATTAAGGAATATATTAAATATATGGAATCAATAACAAGAATTTGATGCCAACCTATGCTAGATCTGGTACAACAGCTGAGGTCAAAGAGAAACTGAAATTATGCAATATTATAAACCAATAGTTGAGTATTTGAAACTGGATTTTGTCCAAGGTAGGAAAAACAGTGAAAACAGAAATATTTTGTCCTTAATTACACATTATTTCCCAAACTTCATATAGCTAAATCAATGGGATTGTCTACATCTGTTTAACATTTAGGGACATCTTAAGGACTAGCAATTTGCAATTTTGAATATTTGAATATTTTTGCTAAAATGGGTGGGAGTTTATCCCAATTCTAGCACCCTCTCTTACCTGAGTCAGCAGGGTAGGAACAGGCAACCTATGTACTCCAGTTTATTGCTGAAGTGCAAGTAGCCTGGAGAAACATTCTAGGAGCTGAATTGTGAGGAATTCTGGGAATTAAAGTTTAGTAAATGCATCTGAAATGCCTACAAGCTGCCATAATTACCTAACTCTTCAGAAGGGAAAACTTTCTTTAATGAATCTCCTTAGTATAACTTCGTTTAAGGATCCAAGCCCAATTCTCCCACTCCTCACTTATACCCCATCCCCATTTTTCAGGAACATCTTGATTTTCCAGACGGCTTTGAATATAGCAGAGGATGGAAATTTCTTCTTCCACAAACTATTTTAAGATACCTTAAATTCCAAGCTAAAAGTTTCATCTTACTATATTTCTGCAATCTTTTGAATTGAACTGAATTGAGTGCTATTATTGTGCAATGGTGGGTGTGACTGACCACACTTTTTTTTCCTTTGAATGCAGCTGACTCTCTATTCTGAACGTTTTGAAGAATTTCAGAAAACGCTAACAAAAAGCAATGAAGTGTTCGCCAACTTCAAGCAAGAAATGGACAAGGTGGGTTACACATTGCATTTCAAGCCTAGGCTGTTCCAAGTTGCATTTCAACCCCAGGCTGTTCAATGTCTTTCAGGTTGATTTCGTTTGGTTTTCAAGACTTTCCAACATTTTTTTTATTTATAAAGCTATAATTTCTTTATTGATAATCTAAGGATCTGCTAGAACTTAGATTGCTCTATCGTGTTTCCAGATATTTATTTAGATCAGTTCATTTATTTTTGTTGTATGAAATCTTGAGTTTTAGTTGGTTGGTTTCTTCAGTCAGTAAAGAATATAAAGTAGGGCTGGAGCTTTCAGGGTTTTAGAAACCACTAAACAAATATATTGTTCAGTCATGTGTAGACTGGGAGTAACTATTATGTTGTTTATGGCGTTTTCCAACCCTTCCATTGATCCTTCAGAGTTCGACAATGTTACAGCCCTGAAATACAGTGACAATTGAGGGTACAATTTTCTTCATGTTTTAAAAAGGAATGTTTATTTTTAAAAGGCCCTGTCAGGATAGAAATAAAGTTCTGTCCTAGCCATTTCTGATGATATCAGTGTAGTACAATTCTCAAAACTTGGGAGTTTGCAGCATAATATGAAAATGTCCATGTTGGAGCCATAAAAGGTTCATGTTGTAAACATTAAGGCCATTTGTATTGCTATGATTTATTTGCAAAACATGGGACTCTGAAGTTATTAGCCATAATAAAACGAAGATCACAGCACTAGCCATAATACAAACTCTATTTATAAACACAGCTCTCTATTTTGTTCTAATGCCATCCTTTTAGCTTTCTTGCTTTGTTATCTTCTTGTAAGCATTTTCATTTAGAGAAATGGAAAGACTGTGAAGTTCTTGGTTATCATGGTTTGTGAAACTGTGATAGAAACCCTACTGCTAGGGGCCACAGACCATGTTTTTAAAAGCTCAGGAAAGAGTGATCAGATGATAGAATCATTAATTAATTTGATTACATTTATAACAATCCAGAATGTTGTTAATGGGATAGAATGAAATGATATTAAATTGAAGAACAGATTCTTATGAAAAATGTTCCATGATGATCTCAGCCCTACAAACTATTTAAGAAGCTGATAATAGGCATGCTGTCAGGATTCCAGCAGTGGCCCTAATTAAACCATAAGTTTCAAGCCAAGCTTCAAAAACTCCAGAGGACTTATTAGGAGCTGGCATGCCGGTATGACCTGTGTGTAACGGATTCTGAGACATGTAATTCACGGTCACACTTGACCCTGGTTTTCCCCTACCCCTCAGGGTGTATCATAATTCATATTCTCCAATGAAACCACCTCCATAGCCAAGAGTCAAGCATGTTCTCCAATTTGAGATTTACGTGGCAGAAACTCCAGTCGCTTAGTTATAATTTTTGCAAGATATGAATGGAATGCACTTTCGATTCCAAACTGCTGCACTGCTCTTTCAAACTCCTTCCCCAACTCCTTTCTGTTGGCAACTATAAAACAGGCATAGAAATGTTTTATGAGTTGACATGTTTTCAGTTTATTCACTGTTTGGAATTATCCACAAAATCTCCACTAAGCTGTCATTGTATTATTCATTTATTTATTTTAAAAAATGGAAAAATATATATAAACTAATGATGCTATTGCAACAGCATTCTATGAGATCACCTACTTCTGCTAGCCTAACAGGGAAAAAAATCAAGTGTTCTATCTGTATTCATATGCTTATGCTTTGTAATATTACATATAGGTTGATATTTACCCTGATGATTTCCACAAAGGGAAAAAAGAACAAAGAGATTAACTTTATAGTACTTCGGCAACTGCATGGTCATGTGTATTTATTATGCACCTTTCATTTCCCCAATAAATATTTTTAACATTTCTAACATGGATTCATAAATCTTTGCACATTTGAACCATCCTATCTTCATAATGTGACAAGTGATCACAGAAGTCAAAATGAGAACGAATGTTAGGGATGGCATCAAAACTCATTCACATACTTTTTGGATATGAAAGCATAGATTTGAATCCTAAGGTACAATCCCATGAAGAAAGCAGCAAAATTCATTTGCATAGTTTTTGGATATGAAATAAAATATGAATGTGGGAAAGTGTTTCCTACCATTCCTTCTCTCATCACTGTAGAAAAAGCATTTCTGCAACATGTGAGATCTTCCTGAACAAAGAGCTTAAGGTAACCCCTTTATTCAAGCTCTCATGCATTTGCTTCCAACTGTTGTAGACTGATAATTTACATTACTTTAATGAATTAGTTTTCTGGTGGTGGTTCATATTTTGTTTTTCAGAATAAACGGTTTTGTTGTAGACCATTTTGTGACCTTTAGATGAAGTTATAGAAATGTAAAAAATGTAATTATGATATAAGGGAATACAGTGTGTGTGTGTGTGTGTGTGTGTGTGAGACCAGTTTGGGTGATTTTCCCCTTCCCTGTAGGGCAGGTTCTCCTACACCCCAGCCTATATTTTCAGGATGGGAAGTCATGCAATCTTCCTTAAAATTTGGTGCAGTGCAGGTTGCTAGATGGGATGGTCAGTTACTTCCAGGAATAGCAAGAAAATTGTTGAAAGAATTATAGATAGGAATGAGAAATCATGAAACAAGCTTATAGAAGCAAGGAAAGAGAATAAAAATATGAATATTTATAGAGCTTAGGTTTTGGTGGGCAGAGTAATTTCTGAAATATTCCCCATGTCTAATATTTTTTTCAGTCCAATCACTCAAATGGGGAATATGTAATAGAATCTCAATATATTCACCAACATCTTAACATTTTTCTGTTCCCTCTTCATGGTTGATATGTCTACCTACACATGAAGTGGGTCTCTCTATTGATAAAGTAGTATCTGCCAGTAGAATGTCTAACTCCCTTTATGTGTTTCCCAGTCTTAGAAAATTGAAAAATACTATACCAAACCTAAGTAGCATATGGAGAGAGAAAGGAATCTTAGTCACATGAATAAATACAGTCATATATCTTGGACTAGTCTCTTTGAGAGCAATAATTGATCTACAGATCTAGGATTCTCATGCAAAATCCATTAAATTAATATGGAGGTTGTGTGAGAGTTTAGTTAGGTTATACAGCCCATTTAGAAAAAGTCAAATTTAAAGTTTCCTGCTGTGTCTAGACTTTAATTTTTTTTTGTACAGATGACAAAGAAAATGAAAAAACTAGAAAAGGATACAGCCACATGGAAAGCAAGGTTTGAGAACTGTAACAAAGCTTTACTGGACATGATTGAAGAGGTACAAAAAAATTTTAAAAATCAGTTGCATATAAAAGCCATATAATCTTGTTCATTAAAATGTTCTTTAACAATGGAGCTGTGACGTCACTATTACTGGAAAGATTTCCAACACTGTTCATACTTACTTGTCTGCTTAGTGAGTTAATAAATGAAGTAACAGAGTAGAGTTATGTAAGCTCTTGTTGCATGTGGGAAATAAAACGACAAAATTAAAGAAATCTGAAATTTGGAGTCACACTTTAATTCAGAGGCAACCTAGCTGTCAGCATGCATGATCAGCTGGAGTACTTAGTGGCCACTGGATAACATTTGCACAATCCAATTATCCCACTTACATTTTTCACTGAGCAAGTTAGGCAGAATATTAAAAAAAAATAAGACTTTTAACATGATTTAAATGCAATAGAATGACTTGGGCTGGCTTCATGCATTGCAGAAGTGAAAGGCTAACAGTAACATGCTATAATTTGTAATTTCCCAATTTCCTCTTTCACACACACCCTTTCGCATCCTGCCAGCTAAAATTAGCATCTCTAAGAGCCCTTAGTTGGCTCTGTAGATTTGCATATATTGAATGTAAAATCTCAGGGCATAAAAGGTCCAGAATACCACAAAGTTTGCAGAAATGGCAAGTGAATGGTAGGATCTTGGGATTACCTTTTAAGTAGTATGTGAACAAGCAAACAAAAAAGGAGAGATTTGTCTGGCCATTTAGATTCTCTTCTGTTGCCTATCAGCTTTTTCAGCCTTCAAATGTTTTGGTTTTTTTACCCTATCACAGAAAGCCATGAGGGCCAAGGAATACGAATGCTTTGTAGTGAAAATTCAAAGACTAGAAAATCTTTGCAGAGCTCTGCAGGAAGAACGGAGCGTATTGTATAAAAAAATAAAAGAAGCACAATTCCCTGAAGAGAACAAAGAAGAGGAGGCAGAAGAAGAGGAGGCAAAAGAAGAGGAGGAGGAAGAACAGCAAGCTGGAATGGAGGATAGTCTGGAGAATATGACTACAGTTACAAGTCAGGCTACTGATGAGCCATCTGCCACCAGTGAAATTATCCCAAAAGATTTGGCTGCAGCTTTCATGGTAACTCATGTGAATATGGCTGTGATCCCAACCAATGAAGAAAAAGTAGAAGTACACAATCCCAAAGTGTGTGATCCAATTTGTCCTCCTGAGATGATATTGGCTTCTTGCAAGCCACAGAGCAACCAGGATTGCTGTATTGATCCAACATCCATGCCCAAAGCAGAGGAACCAGAGGGGGACACAGTAAAACTTGATCCAGATCATCCAGTGTTGAACCTTTCAAATACTGACATGGAAGGTGTTGATTAGCACAATATCATGCATTTCCCCCCAAAATGACATTCTCCAACCCTTTTTCCGAAACATTTCTGTTTTTCATAATAAGACAGCTTTACAAGTGTTTTCAAACCTGCTTCAATTTCATAGAATACACGCTGTTGTATCCCATGATTACTGGTAGTGTTTGAATTTGCTTTATTTCTCATTCAGGTAAAGCCAAGAGCTTCTCTATCATTTAGTAGAAATTATTAAATTAAATTAAATTAAAAATTAAAAGTTGTCATTTCCACTGGATTTTTAAAAAATGGATAAGTCCCCCTATGGAAGCCTACTCTCAAAATGCTCCAAATAAACTCAATGAATAAATAGTTGGGAAAGGGAGGAACTAAGTGTGCTTGAGACAGGAAAAGCTCGCAAGCCTTTGGGATACAATTAAAATGAATTAAAAGTAGTAAAATATAATGCCAGAGAAGCAAGCCCTAAACTACTGATTCAGTCACTATTTCTGTTTTGTTATTTTCAAACAAATTTGCTTAGTTAAATTGAGTTTAAATCTTTGATTTCATTCTCTTTAAATTTGTCAATCTTACTTATTTGATCTGTTCAGGGATTGGGATACCAATCTATCAGCAATCTATTAAGTGGTGAAGTATAAACCAAAAAAATCATGTGGAATATAAGCCAAAACAATCATAGGATTGCTGATAATAGGGTTCATGTATTATGTAAATTAGTAAGGCTAGAATTTAAAGTTCAAACATTTCAGGCTTAGATCGGATATCATTAAAAAGAGATATTTTCAAATATTTGTGCTGCTAAAGCCTGAACTCCTTTTTACTACTACTAGTACTTCAAACATAAGGCACCTTGACCTAATTACCTAACAGTACTTCGCCTTATAATTTTCTGCTACTTTCATCATAGTTCAGTCTTTGGGAATGTTCTGGATTTCTGAAAACAAATGCTTGTTTTAAATTTATATGCCTTAAGCTGAGATCTTGTATGGAGTGATCTGTCATAAGCTTTCTGATATAGAATGTCGGTGTTCTTAATGCTGATCCATGTCCAAGTTTAGAATCGCTGTATTTACATTTAAGATTACATCTTTAGTCATAAAATCTGACTTGAAAATTAAACTAAATTTGGAAATCTTTCAAGATCCAGTACCATAACAGGTAAGCCTCAAACCTGGGAGTGGCACTTAATTTTTGCTTTCAAAAATTAGCTGTTCCTTTTGCAATCAATTCTTTTGGTGTTATAAAATATGCAAAATTGCACGCCTCTATTCCTATATTCTACCCCAGCAGCCCCCTAACTTCTTGGCACCAGGCGACTGATTTCATGGAAGACAATTTTTTCATGGACTGGGGGTGGAGATGGAAATGATTTCGATTTCACTCGCTCGCCCGCCACCCACCTCCAGTTGTGCGGGCCAGTTCCTAACCAGCCATGGACAGGTACTGGTCCACAGCTCGAGGTTCTGCATTCATATTTTATATTACAATTAATGCATCTGTCTTATTTTTAAAATTGTCATTATTCAAACATGTATGACCATAATCTAGTACCTGAGTTTGTCATTCTAGCCTAACAATGCCCTGAATTAAACAATGATTCAGTATGTTAGCTAGACTATATGATTTTATGCCTATCAATTGAATTCACACATTTTTTTAAAACACTGGATCTCATCTGAGGAATTCTAGCCTAGTTTCAATATTAAGATTTTCATTTATAACCTCCTTAGTATTTTAAAAGTTGCCTTAATAGTTTCCATTTGCTTGGTTTTTTTTCCTGTTTTTTACTAGACAAAAGCTCACATTTCTACAAAAGCTGTCAGATGTGAATATTTTTATTGGAGCTATAAACATAAATTTGAATTAGGCCTAATAATAATCAGATTCTTCAAAACAGTTGAGAAATATTATCTCAGTAATATGAAGAACCATCTGAAAAATAGTTGATAATATTTGTCTGATATCATCTAGCTATACTTTACCACCTGTACTGAAGAGATTCAAATTAGGAACGACTCCAGAACCAATTTCACAGTAGGAATCTCTCAGCATTAGACATTAGAAAATCTATTTGAAGGTCTCTATACTATTACATTGTACTGTATAATTTGTTGTGATTGCACTTTGGAGAGTGGGAGAGCAGGTTGAGAGCAGGACTCCAAACCAATTTAAAAATATTAGAAATGACTACAAAGGCAAAACAGAAAGAAGTGTTACATGTAAGAGCAATAGCACCAGGCAGAGTCTGTAAGACAAGCCAATATCTTTTGAAAACCCCTGACAGATCCAAATTAATAGTTAAATGTTTCTAGGGTCTATTACAAATAGGATTCTGGCTACAAAATGATTGTTTTGAAATATCCCGCTTGAGTGGTTCACTTCATGGTTATCTCATCAATTTTCATATTATTCCTTGTGGAAACATACATACAATCAATGTACTTGAAAGCAGTGAACAGACAGAATAAGGGTTTCCACTTACTCAACTTGTCTGACTGTTTAAAGCTATAAATACTAAAAGGCTGATGCACACATAGCTTTAATTCAGCAGCAACTCACAACTTTATCCATTGTACTTACAGCTCAAGAATTTCAAGCAGCCAAAAAAAGCTTGTGCCAGAACTGATGATCACAATTATTTCAGTTTCTACATGACATCAGCAACTAAATGAACTTTGTCGTTTTATGTAACTATAAGGGGTTGGGATGTTTAAGATATAGGTAGTACTCGACTTGCAAACGGTCACTTAGTCACCATTCAAAGTTACAACAGACCCCAAAAAAGGGGTTCAAAGGGTTCTGACATCTGTCCCATCATGTGCATTTTGGACATTCAGCCCATAAATGCACCAGCCTGCATTTATGGCTGTTTGCTGCATCCAGTGGTCACGTGACTGCAATTTACACTTTTGGTTTTGCTTAACAATCACGTGTTTGCTTCATAATCACTACTGAAGACCACCCCCAAAACGGTCATAAAATCTGGTGGTCATATGGTGACCCGCTTTACAACTGAAATTTCAGGCTCAATTAGTTATAAATCAAGGACTACCTGTTAACTTGTTTATAAATGTTTTAGAAAATAATGTAAAATTTGCTATTACTAAGGAAACTCTGGAAGCCTTAGGTATATGATACAAATGGGTAACAGCTGATCAAAAGGGACTGCGGGATAGTATTTTAGATCGTTATCCTAGGAAGTTGGAAAGGAATGAAAGGTGTACAGAAGAACTCTGACAACAGATTCAGCTTTCCATTTAAATCCAGACCGGTTTCCTGAATAATTTTATGCAAGTTTCACACTCGTTTCCTTCCAGCATCAGCATTCATGCTTATACGTGCAGTTTTCTTTTAAAAATGGCCCAATATTAATGTAGAATCAGGGGTGGGATTCTACCAGTTCGCACCTATTTGCTAGAACTGGTTGTTAACATTCTAAGCAGTTCGGAGAACCAGTTGTTTGAAGAAATTACTGGCCTAATCCTGTAAGGAAGGCAGGAAGGAAACATTCTGGTGTTCTTTACAGAAACTGCCTCCTCTGTTAACCCTTCTTGGCAGGACTAGACTTCCTGTCACAGGAACTTTTCTGGAGTTTTTTTTCCTTCTTTTGCTGGTACTTTGCTTGTGTGGAGTGACCATTCAAAGTTACAATGGCACTGAAAAACGTGACTTATGACCATTTTTCACACAACTGTTGCAGCATCCCCACAGTCATGAGGCCAGGCGAGGAGATGTGTGCCTCGATGTGAGTGATATTGAGTTGGCCACGCCCAGTCAACATGACCACCAAGCCATGTCCACCCAGTCATATGACCATCAAGCCACACCCACCAACTAAGCCACGTCCACAGAATCAGTTAAAAAATTTGAATCCCACCTTTGTCTAGAATGCCTCTTTATACAGACGTGTCTGTATTTATTTTGAATCCCTGATATAGAAACCAACAAAGATTATTCCTCCATATTGCTATTACCTTGCTTTCAGTAACTAGTGGCCCAAATGTCTGCTCTCACACCAAAACAGTGGACCCTATTTCAAGAAGGAAGCAACTTTCACAGTCTTGTAACCTGAATCTCAGAAGCCAAGTGATGTCTCATTTGTTTTTTGAGGGGGTGAGGAGTTCAGCAAAAAATTAAGTGGCACATTCAAACCCTAAGGTCAGTCTTCCTCTGTAAGAGCCTGTTCTCAATTTCGGGACAATACATTCTTGACTGCTTCATGTTCACATTTAGATATAGTGACAGAGATCAGAATGGATTTCATTGAATTGCTCCTAACAGATATATCTAGATGGTATATTACCCTTTAGTGCAGAAAGGGATCCAAAACAGTCTCACTGAACAGAAATATATCCTGGGATTAATACCATGCATTAAAGACATTCTACCAAATGAGACTTTCGCATAGACATCAGATTTAATTTTTAATGTCAAACTGATATGGACGACCAGATTGCAGATATCTATCAGTAAACCCTCTATATTATTGGTGACTAAAATGGGCGTTGGTAAATTTACCTGAGAATGCCCTTTCTATAGGTGCTGCTAGAGAGCCCACGATGGGTTAGACTCCTCCTGATGACATCATCAAGCTGGGTCTGTCTTGTATAAAAAGTCCTGTGGGAGTTTCCCCCCAGCTTTGGCGAAGGTACTTGACAGACTGTAGGAAATGTCTCTGAAAGCCAAATAGAATGTTTAACATTAACATTAACACATCTTACCATGGTCCGGATGAAATAAGGGAGTGGCTGGGCTCTCTAGCAGCATCTATAGAAAGGGTGTTCTCAGGTAAATTTACCAATACCCACTCTCCTAAATGTTGCTGCGAGAGCCCAGGATGGGACATACCAAAGCCCACATATCCACAGGAGGGTCATCGGTCCGGCAAATCTCTCTGAAGTTGGAACCACTCACTGAAGCAATCATCTGCCAAAAGCCGCACTCCTCGAGGCATAGGAGTCCAGACAGTAATGTCTGATGAACAGAGACGGGGAGGTCCACGTAGCCACTCTGCAAATCTCCACTAGGGGTGTCTGGGTGGCCCAGGCAGCTGAAGTCGAGGCACTCCTAGCAGAGTGTGCCATTAAGCCCTGGAGTATGGAAGGGCTCTGGTTAGAAGGCCTGTGTGATGCATGCCATGATCCACCTACTCAAGGTGGGAGGAGAGGCTTTGTTGTCCCCAGTGTTAAAGGGAAAGGACACTAACATGGCCTCAGTTTTGCTAAATGTAGAGGGATGTCTGATGTAAATTCAAAGCGCCCTGTTAACATCTAGGGAGTGCCACTTGCGCTCTAAGTCGTGGAATGGAAGGGGATGGAAATCAGGTAACACTATGTGTTGGGATTTGAGGAACCCAGGATTAATCTTAGGTACAAAAGGTAGGGTCTAGATGTCTTTCTTGACAGACAAGCCTGCCAGAACCGAAATCCTTCTAGAAGGGGTGATCGCTACCAGAAATGCCACCTTACAAGACAAAAAACTGCAAGGGAATTGACCTCAGTGGTTCAAATGGGGCCTTAGTCAGCGACTGCAGTACTTTAAAGAAGTCCCATGTGGGATCTCAATGACCACTGGAGACCTCAGGTTTGTAGCACCCTTCAGAAACCTGCAGACCGTGGGATGTCTAGACAAAGATTCTACTCCCCACAAGGATAGAACAGAGGGCAAGGCTGCAACCTGCCTCCACAGAGTGTTAGGTGAAAGTCCCTTGTCTAGGCTCTCTTGGAGGAAGTCCAACATCTGGCAATTAAGGCCCCGGACGGGGCAATGTCATACTTACGACACCAATCGCTGAAAGCCTTCCAGGTTGCATCGTAGATGCAGTTGGTGGAGGGTCCCCTGGAGGCTTGGATAGTTCTTATTACTCTGGAGGAATGATAGTTCTGGATCAGGGATCCCCGCTCAATGTCCAGATGGCCAAGTGAAGCCACTGGGGCTCTGGAAGCAATATTGGCCCCTGTCTGAGTGACACTCTGTCTACCAGAATCCTCCCAGGACTGGAGATGGAACGGTTTACTAAGTCTGCGAACCATGGCCTCCTGGGCCAGTGAGGGCTACCAGTATAAGTTCTGCTCTTCTGCCCAGAGTTTCTGGAAGACCCCCCGGAATCAGGGGCAGAGGAGGAAAGGCATACAGGAGTTCCCATGGCCAAGGGCCGTGTAAAGCATTCATTCCCTCCACCCCCAGAACTGCACACCTGGAGTAGAACCTCGGGAGTTGTGTGTTGTCCTGGGAAGCAATGAGATCCACTGCTGGCAATCCGAAGCGCTCCAACAGCTCCTGAAATAAATCGGGGTGCAAATGCCACTCTGCCTGGTCAGTGGTGGCTCTGCTAAGCCAGTCAGTCTCAACATTGGCCCCACCTGCAATGAGCTCAGCTCTGAGCGATACCTGGTGTATCTCTGCCCATAAGCAGAGTTGATCTGCCTCTAACATCAGGGGTCCTGAATGTGTCCCACCTTGGCGGTTAAAATGTGCCTTGGTTGACACCTTGTCAAGCAAGATCAAGATGTCCCTATCTGAGACAGCATCCTCTTATTGTGTCAGGGCCAAATGGACCACTTGAAACTCTAGTCAATTAATATTATGGGCCAA